CATCTAATAAACAATGGTCTTCTAGCAAGAGTTCATGGTAATATTAAAAGGATGCCTCAATGGAAAACTAAAATGGTGATTGATAAAAATGTTGCAGAGCCATCCTTACCCTAGAGGTGGGATCATTGCAGGAAATTTTTTGCCAGCGGCCATCTCTGGTCTGGGAAGATTAGTGAAAACATCATTGATGATTGATGCAAGCTTTAATAAATTCCAGGGCCATGCGCTCCTCCCCTGGAATTCAACTGCATATCATATCCATCGAGGGATGCAGGTCAGATTAGCCTTATGTACACGAGGAATGTGAGAGAATGACTGTAAATTGTTCAAGGTAGCGTGCATGCTTCAACATCTGCCATTTTCCTGTAATCAAGCATCACATGCTCAAAATGTCTCATATTCAACGGTGTGCTGCCCTGATATCTTGTAATTATAATATTTATAATAATATTATTAATGATTACGAAAAGCAAAATATTATCAATGAAAATCTTGTAATTACCCAGCAATGATCTGCTCCGCGTTTTGATTTCCAATTAAAATGTTTATAATAACCAAAAATGTCAATAAAAGCAAAAAAAAGTACCTCTGGTTAGTTATTAAAACGTTTCTTTAGGAGACCCAAACCAAACCAAACCACACCGTTCACGTTTTGTCACCTTGGACTCTGTCAAAAAATAAATTGTTTTTTGTTTTTCCAAAAAAAAAAAAAAATCATTCGCGTCTGTCCTACCAGAAAAAAAAACCAATAGGATAAAATAATTAATGTGTACGCGTCGATCAAATAACAAAACTTTTATTTTTTTTCTCTCAAAAAAAAATGTCAAAATCTAATACCAATAAAAGAAGAAAACAAACTGCTCTTGGTGAAATTTCTGGGTAAGTGTTTTAAGGATGGTGGTGGTAGTTATCGTCCCCCACTCATCGTCACTCTAGTTTATGTTTATAATAACCAAAAATGTCAATAAAAGCAAAAAAAAGTACCTCTGGTTAGTTATTAAAACGTTTCTTTAGGAGACCCAAACCAAACCAAACCACACCGTTCACGTTTTGTCACCTTGGACTCTGTCAAAAAATAAATTGTTTTTTGTTTTTCCAAAAAAAAAAAAAAATCATTCGCGTCTGTCCTACCAGAAAAAAAAACCAATAGGATAAAATAATTAATGTGTACGCGTCGATCAAATAACAAAACTTTTATTTTTTTTCTCTCAAAAAAAAATGTCAAAATCTAATACCAATAAAAGAAGAAAACAAACTGCTCTTGGTGAAATTTCTGGGTAAGTGTTTTAAGGATGGTGGTGGTAGTTATCGTCCCCCACTCATCGTCACTCTAGTTTATATATAAAGATTGGTGGTTATTGCAATCGTTGCCACGCGTCATCACTCTAGTTAATTATAAACTTTTTTTTTATTAGTGAAAATAAAGAAAATGAAAATGATAGGGTATTTATTTCAATAGAATATTATTTTAGTATTCAATATTGTAAACACTAATTCAACATAAAATAATTTTTATATATAATTATTCCCTGCACAAACAATCATCCTCTTTAGAGCTTGAAGAGGAAGGTGGAAGAGTTGGAGTTGGTGGTAGAAAGATTAAAAAGCAAATTAAAAAGTGTTGGAGGTAAATATCTCGAATGTAAATGTTGGGTTATACATTGAAGGCTGATAAATATTCTAGTTATTAGTCGAAACTAAGGGCGCAAACATATTGCCGAGTTGTAACCTATTCTTACGACACCTATATGATGTAAAAAGGTTGTAACCCTTGCAGCTAAATGTTGAATGGTCGTATGCTGTGTGTTATGCCGTGTGCTGTATCATGTGCCGTGTGCCGTACATTATTCCATATGCCGCTTGTTGTGTTGTATGCAAATTTAACTGCCATATTGCCGTACGTTATATGCCATATGTTATGCCATATGCCAACATAGCTGCCATATGCCATACATTATGCTGATGTGCTGTATGAAAATAATTAAAAAATTTTTTATTCTTCAAAAAAAAAAAAAAAAAAATCTTAGAATTAGAAAATCTTAATTACATATATATAGAAAAAAAATCATTGAATGACGATGAATCACCAAAAACGATATTTTTATTATCTGAGAAGTTGAGTTATCCTTAAAAAACCAGGTTTTCCTGTTGATAAATTTTTTGATGACATAAGTCAGGGATTATGGCATTCGGCACATGATATGGCATGAGTCATGGACCACCGAATTGGGCAAATGATATGGCATAAGTTAGGGTTACGGCATTCAACACATGTTATGGCATACGGCATATGATATTAATATGTCATTTGGTGCACATGATACGGCATACGGCACATGGAAAGTGACGCATTGCCGTGTTTATGCCGTACTAATGTCATAACCCTCAAGTGTTCATATGTTTGCACCCTTAATCGAAACTATTTATAGAAACAATTAATTGTAACAATTACGATCTAAATCAATAAAAAATTAAAAAAATTAATTTTAAATCTTTTAATTTTACAAAATTGAAAAATAGAAAGTGAATTAAACGATGCTAAGGAGATGTTGAGAAAGGCGGAGGTGAAGTTGGAGGAGTGGGAAGTGGGGAAGTATAAAGGGGTGAAGTTGAACAAATTAGAAGAGAAGTTGGAAGAAGAGAATGTGAGTGAAGCAGTGAGGAAGAATTTGGAGGAAAGAAGAGATAGGTTGTTGAAAGAAAAAGAAAGGTTAGAGGCGGAGAAGGGAGATAGGTTGAAACAAGTAGAATACTTGCAAAAAAAATTAGTAGAATTCGGTAAAGGAGAAGGTAATGAACAAATTGTGTAAAAAAATATACAAAAAATTATTTTCATTCATTCCATTTCGTTTATTTATTTATTCATTTGAGAGAACATTTTATTTGGTATGCTGTTTACAACTTTAATTAACACCAATTCATTTTATTTATACATCCATCTATGCATTCCCAATATTGTTGCAGGTGCAGAGGAAGGAATATTGCAAAGAAAGAGACCGCTAGAGGAATATGAAGAAGGTAGGTTCTTGTGAATACATCATTTAGAGCAAAACTGTTACTAAGTTATGAATTAAATTTCTTTTGCAGAACAAAGAAAGAGAACAAAAGATCATAGATGGGACCAGGCATTTAGAATGGATTTCAAAGATCCAGTTGATTTTGTGCAGTATCTAGAGGAACATATTCAGGATGGTTTCAAAAAGTATAAAACTCATTACAATTACATTGCCTTGGTTCAAAGTTCTGGTTATGGAAAGACTCGAGCTGTTGGGGAATTATCAAAAAAAGGCTATTGGATAATCTTATTTTGTTTTCGTGGAATTGGGTCATCAGGGTTCCCTTTAGAAACACCAAAATCTGGTGAATTTCTTAAAGAACTGAAAGAATGTCGTAGTGTTGATGAGGCTGCAAATATATGTTTGTACTGGATTGGTGCTGCAGTGCAAATTATAGCTAAGGAAAAATATATGCCTGAACAACTTTGGGAGATGCAAATGGTAGGTTGGTTAAGAACTTTTTATAATGGGGGGTTTTTTTTTTGTGAATTATAGGTTAAATTTGATATTATATAGATACAGAAAGATAAGCTTTATAGTTTTTGGAATGAAATTGCACAAATAAGAAAGTCATTTAAAGGAAGTACTGATGAAGTCATTAACAATACAAAGAAATTATGCGAGGAACAACTTAGTGGGAAAGTGTTATGCTTGTTTGACGAAGCATCAGCTTTGTTTGATGGAAATGTTAATATAGATGGTAAGTAGTTTGTTTAATAAGTATCTAAATGATTTATATAGTATTGATAATGCTTGTTGAACTTTTTATTAAAAAAAAGAATCCAGCAACCTTCCATATAGAGGATGTAGAAGAGCATTGGCATATATCAGCTCTATATTTGGTATAATGACTGACACAAACTCAAGTGTTGCAAATTTGGTTCCCCAAGCCAAAGATGACAAATCAGTAAGTTAATCAATAAGAATTTTATGCATATTTATTTATTTATCATTATTTCTCTTTTCTTTAAGTCTAGAATTATTAAAGACACAAATATGAGTCTGCTAGATCCTTTTATCCATGTGGCAACAACAGATATATTCAGGTTTAATTTCACTCTTTTTATTTTGTACTTTTGAATTTATGTAACAAATATTTATGATTTTGTTGTGCTGCTGTAATATAGCAAATCTGGTTCCTTACCTCAAGAAATCCAAGAATTACAAGGACAGCAAGGTTTTGATATTTGCCAGTTTGGACGTCCTCTTTGGATAGCCTACATAGTAGCAAACAAAAATGTGAAAGGAACTATATTGTTTGCCCAAAGCAAACTGCTTGGTGGAATGGACCCATCAGTACTGATCTCAAATGACAATGATATGGGGAAAAATCATGCAAAGCGGAAGATTGTCTTGTCACACTTTGGATGTACTGCTGGTCTTCACCTTTGTCCTAAAATGGAACTACCTTCCCAGTTGGCTGGCAACCATATGGCAACAATAGTGGCCATCAATGAAGATAGAACAGAGCTACTAGCTTGTTATCCATCTGAACCAATCCTTGCTGAAGCAGCCATGAAAATTTTAAGTGTAGACAATTACCGAATAAAGGCAATAGAAATTTTAAACAGTATTATTTGGGAAGGATGTATTGTGGATGCTGGTGACAGAGGTGAGCTTGGGATGAGAATTGTATTGTTGACTGCTTGGATGCATACAAAACCATTAGATTTTTATTCTCGACGGATTAATGTCTTGGATTTTCTGCAAGCCCTTTTTCCACAATCAAACATTAATACTTGCACTATGTGGGAAGATTATGAAGTAGGATTCACTCACTTTATTCCAATAACATATCAACCAAACATGGACACTATTAAAAAAGCTTGGGGGCAGTATGGAGCAATAATCCTAAAACGTTGTCAACAAGGTGGAGATCTTATGTTAATTGTCCAGAATAAAAAAACAAGCAACTTTGGATGTATTGTTGTTCAGGTTTGTGGCTAACATTTTGTAAGATATAAGTGGTATTAATTTAAATGAATAATTTGTTATAATCATAATACCAGATAAAAAACTGGGCAAGAAGACAAACCAACTTTGATGATGAAGTGGGTAGACAACTGGAAGCAACTCATGTTTTTAGTGAGGAATTAGGAAAACACATTGGTAAAGAGCTTTATTTGGGCATTTATGTCCACCTTGGTAAGTGATATAATGGTAACTTTTTTCCATTTCCTGCCTTATAAAATATGCTCATCTTTTTTTTAAAAAAAAAATAGGAGAGGCATATACAGATGATTCAAGCTTTACATTATATGATTATAGCAAAACTGGAAATAGATGGAAGCTCCAAAAAACTGATGGGGATAAAGCAACTTTTAATAGAATAGTGGTTCTGGGGTTGTCAAATTTTTATAGAAATAATGATAGTGAGGAGTTAAAAACAATGAAGTCTCTTGTACGAGCATGGGATAATCCATTGCAATGGAATGAACAATCTTTTGATAATAAGAGAAAAGCATTAGTTTCATCTATGATACCATTGTATTACAATTGAAAATGTATTTGATTAATAATCGTTTTATAGTTAATTTTTGTAGTTGATATACATAATAATTGAATAATTAATAACTTATTATAATATTTATTGATTATTTTATAGAAATTATGATCAATAAACTATTATCATTCAAGTGTCTTAGATAAAATTTGCCTTTTTCTTTTTGACATCTTAATGTGTCCAGTTGATTTTGCTAAGAATTTTGTAAAAATACATTTAATATATAGCCATTAACTAATACATTATTATTGTTGACAATATACATATAGTAATTAAATTTATCTATTATAGATTGTACAATTTTTATGGTAATTTTGAAATATAAAAACAATCATAAAAAACTACAAAGTGAACATAAAAATATATATGGGGAGTTTTCTAGCAAAAGGTAGCTTAAGTTATATTAAATTATTTTGAGAAAATGGCACCTGAAAATTTGTTCATGAAAAATTGATTGTTGGGCCCCAAAATTTGTAAATACACAATTAAATTTTCTTGAAGTTGTTCCTTTATCAGAAGACCAAAAAAAATATTTATTTGCAGTATGTAGATAATCCATATAAAGATATCCTCTGTCCAAACCTAATTTTTATTAATTCACAAATCATTTATCAATCAGGGAATTTTTTATATAAGATTGGTGGGCTAAGATAACATAGTAAATTTCTTATTTTTTCAAAATGGCGACTACAGTCAACCCCCTCTAAGTGCACCCCCTCTAAGTGCACCCCCTCTAAGTGCACACACCCTCTAAGTGCACGCTCTCACTCATTCCCAAGCTTGGTAATTAGAGATAAGTGCACACCCCCTCTCCCTGCACTGCACGGTCATTTTCCATTCCCAACTATATAAAACTCCCTCTCTAAGTGCACGCCCGTGACTTTCACGT